ATTTTTTTTTGCCTAATGTTTCTAGTTACGCGCTAGACGTTTTTTGGTTTAGATTTTGGTCAAGTTACTGAATTCCGTTTCTGGAGATTCTCTCTGCGTGTGTGTACTTCCTTTCAGTTTAGAGGTTATTTCTGATAAATTTTTCTGGTTCTTGTTGTTTGCTTCTGTTTTTGGTTACGATATTAAATGCTTCTATTTATTTACTCACTAGTTGTTTGGTTGTTTCTGGTTATGAGCATTGTGTTACCAAGTTAGTAATTAAAGGTATCAGTGACACTTCACTTTTGCTGTCTTTGTAGTTACAAATTGAATTGTATTTAATTTTTTTTTAGTTGAATTTTCTTAATTTCGTTAGTTTAAGTGTAGGTAAATTTTTAATAGTTGTGCGTACTTACCACTGTTCTCCGTGACTACAGCCAGGTGTGTAATAATATTCTGCAGTTGTGTTTAATCTTATGTATTTAGATTCTGCAGTTGTGTTTAATCTTATGTATTTAGATTAGAAAAATTTTGATAAACAAAATTTTTCTTTTTCCTTACCGTGGGGGAATAGTTATGGAAAATTCTTATGTATTTTTGTTGTGTATAATTTTTGCGTATTAGTTTACTGTGAATTTGTATTGTGCTTATTTTAAAATTAATGTATAATATTTAATATTGTTAAACTTTACGGCAAAGCTCCCTTAAGTTTGGCAGAATATGTGTTACAGTTAAAAGGGCGCGGTTGTATTTCCGTTTCTCACGCGTAGGCTTCTTTGGAGGTTAGAGGTCACTGTCCAGCTGCATTTTCCCCTTTTTTCGCGGGGGTTGAAAATACGTGTTTTGCTCGTTCAGAGTCGAATAGTTCTAAGGGGCGGCTATTATTTTGACAGAGTTATAGGTTGGAAACTTTCTTCTTTGCGTGGGAAACGGAAATAGCTTTGTTAAAGTTTGCAGTCTTCTTACTTCAAGACAGTGGGAGGTGTACTAAGTTAGATAATAGGATACTCGTAAAAGCTAGTTTCGCTTGTTAGTTGGGGGGGCTATTGTTTTTTTCTCACGTTATATGTGCAGATGTTTTTCGGATTGCATTGTCAGATTTTCTGGTGTTTGATTCGTCATGGGTGTGTCATTTTCTCAATTTAGATAACATAAAATTCCGGGATTGGTAAGATTTAATTTTATGATTTTTTTGAAAGCCTATGAACTCACAGAGGCGGAGAAATCGAGTTTTCCTGGGTGCTTGCACCAGGCTAGAGTTCATTCGGATTCTGTTTCCTGATTCTTTCAAGCTAAGAGTAAGAAGAGGAGTGGGGGCTTGACCCCTTGCGGGTCTTGCTCTCGCGGGCGCCGGCTATTGCGTTGGATTGTGGAGACATTTGAGTTGCGAAGATGTAAGGCAGTAAACGAAAAGGTTCGGTGCGGCTTTACCTCCTGCGGGCGGCTTGCGACTCGGTCTGAGGCGAGGTTTCTCGCCGCTTTCCCGCTGATGAGAATTTGTTCCCACGGAGAAAGTGCTCTATGAACAATTTGATTTTACCGTTTCTTCTTGTATTTAGTGATCTTTGAATTGTCATGTTAGAGGCTTTCCAGTTAGAATTGTTCGTCATAGACAGAAGAGATTGGTTACAACTGAGAAGTTTGTGCCAAAAGTGCTCTACCCAAAATTTAGTTTCGCCGCTTCATCGTGTATTTTGGAGAACTTGAATAGTCACGTTTGAGACATTCCAGTTGAAGAAATTTGTCATGAAATACACATTTGTTCCAGAAGGAGGTATCATGCTTCTCTTGTTCCTGAGATCAATGGACGTTTCTGAAAGTGTTTTGACAGAAAAAAGATTGGACACTAAAGATCTTTTGTTTCGGAAATTGTCTCTCACTTAATGGACATATTTAAGGCGGTTCCTGAATCAATGGACGCTTCTGAAAGTGTTTTGAAAAAAAAAATTGTTTTAGCTCATTTCCAAGTGGATTGGACACTAAAGATTCTTCAATCCAGAAAATCTATCTTCCATCTGTGACTGATTTTTAAATTTGTCTACCTCTCTATCTTTTCAAATTACTTAAACGGAAATTATTTATTTTATACATGTAAACTACTAAATGATTAGAATATTTTGAATAATGACTAATTAATTTAAAGTCTGTAAAGGAAGGTTTAAAGATTTGTTTTACCGGCTTAATTAGTGAGCTACTGAACGTCAAAAATAGTAAACTTACAAACTAATATGAGTATGTTAATTTTGAAATGAGATACGTGTTATTTTCCATCTGAAGGTATATTAATTTTTGTAAGCTGTAAATGCGTGTGACATTATGTGTTACTTTTCAGAGTAAAAATATGTTGTAGGATACTGATCAGTTATCCATTATTTAATTATATAAAATAGTCAAGAATTTAATAAATGGGTGTTTAGAATTTAATAGTATTTGTGTATTTATGTTGAGTATATTTTACTGTGGTCTGTCATGTCCCTCCATTTGTTTGAGCCGGGAGGTTTTTAAGAAGCATGGAGTTTAATTGAATTTGGAGTTATTGATTTTCCCTTTACATAGGTTACTCACAACGCAAACCTAAAAGTAAATTGTTCTATACCACTATACGATTGTTTGATAGATTTACTATACGAATGGTTATAAGAATGTCAAAATGATATATGAATATTATGATTTAGATTTGAATGTGAAGAATTTAGTATTTGATTTCTTTTTTTGTTAATTTTGTCCGGCACCATTGTTTTGAATTATTTTAATTTTAGTAATTTTGTTCGGCACCAAAGTTCAAAGTTAAAGTTTTAAAAGAAGTATAAAACGAAAAATATTCAGATATAACACTATAGTTGCTCCCAATTACATAATCGTTATCTGAATTAAAAGTAACTTCAAATAAACTTCTTGGAAATGTTCATTTTTGTTTCATACATACATATATATATACACATCTAATAAGTCATATATTTATACACAGATAGAGAGATGCGATGTTTTAGAAGTTGTTAATATATATTTATTAGTATTAATGTAATGAATAAGATTTATATTAATGAATGTATATACAAATGTTTTTCATCATGCATAATAATAAGTCCATAAATTTTCAATGTTTCAATATGTAGCATTTACAATAAAAGTATAGTTTCTAATGTATTTATAATCCAAAAAGTATTTCATTAATAACATGAAAATAATAGACAAATTTAATGAGTATTCTCATTATTACATAAGCTATGCTTGTCTTTTTTATGCATCTTTTATGCTGTTTAAAATGTGTCACTGATTATGCAGTTAACAATTAAAAGATAAGTAATTAGGAGAAAAGCCCGCGCATATACAAACGAATTTTAAAAAAAATTATTCAGCTTAAATTTAAGAAATAAAATTCTATTATTAACAGTGTTATATACACGATCAGCACGAAATACGACAAATTTGGCGAACTTTTGGCTACGAACAATTTGTAAACAAATCCGAAATGCAAGAACGTCGTAAAATACTGTCAACTCTGAAATTTCCACGATTATAATGAATATATACACATTTAAAAATGACTCAGGCAGTTGTATTACAACAAAACAGCAATAATTAAATCGGCCTCTATTTCCACCGTCCATCACTTCACAGTGAGAGCCATCGCCATATTGAAAGTTACCCGTGATCCTTCAGAAGCTGACCTTTCGTCTGATTGGTTAAACGTTCGAGGAACACGTCTCCAGCCGGAACATTTTGGGAAAAGTTTTAAAATGTTGCTCGTAGCCGGGACACGTTCCTCCTAGCTAGACGAAACATTTCTCGGAAGCCTGCCGCTTAAAGCCGTGCTACTAGAATCTCGTTTCTCGGAATAGTCCCGGGTAAGCGCGCGCGTCTATAGATGTGATAACAGTCTAACTGTTCCAGTCTACAACTGTACTGTGGTTCATCTTGAGTTGGAGTTCACAAAATTCAACAAATGTCATTTCCTGTCACCAAACGTAGATGAATCTAACGGCTGTAAGGAAGGGGATTTTCGATCCTTCAAACCAAGTTTGAATTCTCAATCCTTTCTTCTCATTATAGGTTTCTTTCCTGCACCGCCATTTTGCTATCGAGTTATCGATAAAGCATAATATCATCTCATGATTGTTCAAATATAATTTTCTATCATGAATGATGCCCTTTTTTTTTTTTTTTTTTTTTGAAAAAATTCTATTGCAGACTAAAATCCATAGCTTTATGAAAAAGAGAATTAAAAAATTAAACTAGTATTTCAATGGCGACTTACAAATATAGAACTATCTAAAACTTACGCAATTTGAAATCAGCACGTTCGCGAGATTTGGCGTGCTGTTTAATGGGCGAGTTTGCTAGATTTGGCGCTTTTGCGCATGCATTTTCATGAAATTTTTTACGGTCCCCGAAACCGAATTGTACCAAATATCCTTTGCTAGGGCGGTTAGGTACCCGAAAGTCATTGAACGTTTGAAAAATGGGTCTCCGCTTTTTCGGATGGTGCAGACTGTGGTTTTACCATCGATGTGAGACTGGACGCAGTGCCAATAAATCTGTATGATACAGTCAATCGTTTCCATTATTTGAATTAAGTCATCGTGAGAACTTTATAAAAGTCTTAACTAAAAGAAACTGGCTCATATTGCTGACAAAATGATCAAAAGTATTGGTGTGCTTAGTTTAGTTCTCTTGTTAATAAAAAACAGCATTTGTGCATACAATGCGTCCAAAAGATAATGAAAATTAATATATGTCTTTACTGATGGCTAAGCAAGAATAATTCATGATTATAAAATAGATTTTAGAATCGAGTGATTGTATGTACGATTTAAAATAATAATTACGTATGGTAGAGAAGAAGGATGAGAAGAAAAGAATGATTGAATGTTAGTTATTTGAAAACGTCGTATTGGATAAACAACGCCCACTGGCGTATCGATGTTACAAGTATGTCTATCGATGGCGAAGGACAGTCTGTTGCTGAAAGTCAGCCATTAGAAAAAGGAGGCGAACTTTGAAAAAAAACGAGGCAAAAGAGTTGGATAAAACGCGCTCAAGGCAGCTTTGTCAATAAAAGTTTCCATCGATCTCTGCGAAGGTCTTCGGCTTGGTAAATGCAGGTGTTCCACTAATCGGATGACTTCACTATCTTTTACATTCTTCTGAAGCCGTAGTAAAGGGGTAACGGTTTCTATGAACCCATAGTTGTTTCGAAATAATCGATCGACAGCACACCATATTTTCTGCTTGGTGGAGAGTTGCAGTTTCTGTTTTCGGATACACAAAACAATAATTTATATTAATACAAGTCTTCCTGTTATAATTAAAAAATTAATTCCTACGGTTTTAGAAGATAATGTTTAGAATCAAATTACATTTGTTTTTTATACCAGTAATAATTTGCCTAAATAATATTTATGTATTAGGGTTCGTTGATTACAATATCACTATGGAGAATAATCATATGTTTCCTTTCTCGACTTCTGAAGTAAACTCAAATATTTTTGAGCATGACAAGAAGCTTATCCAGCTACATATCGTAAGTATTTCTGTTTTAATAAATATGGTATGAAATTTTACCATTTAGAAAGTTTTTGAAATATTGAATCTGATGACAATACAGCTATAATTTAATGTACAATTATTGTTTATTTGGTACTGTTCTGTTATCGGGACCGGAATCGCCACCAAATGTTTAGCTAAACACACCAAGCGATATGAAGGCGCCAATGTTTATGATTAAAGTTGTTATAACGTTAACGCTTTTAAGATAAAGTGAAAGAATGCCTTTTCAAAATTGGCAACGTGAATGCAGATTCTAAAGGTGTAACGGTAACTTGCGTTTTTATTATTATTGTATTTACCATGGATTTGAAAATTTGGGACTTGCCTAAAGATGAAACATCTTTCACAAAATTTCTTCAGAAATGAGGAATTATTCAGTCTAAAATGCGCGAGAAATCATAAAATGATTTTTTTGAAAATATTTCTTGGCAAGTTGCTTAATTTACATTAAAAATTTCTAATTTTACAAATATCTGTTATGTAATTTTTTTTTCCCTTGGATTTCTCTTGCAAATATTTTTGGCAATTAATTTTGTTTCGAATTTTTCTCCCGATCGTCAAGTTTTGGCGATATCGGAATCCGGTCCCGATAACAGAATAGTACCATTTATTTATTTTGATAGAAAATTATTGTATAAATTCTGCCACCTATTACCCTATAAATTTGATGGAAAGTTATGGTATTTTAGAGAGTTTTTTTAACGAATATTGATTTACTTATGAATAAAATGTTAATTCAGTGGAGCTGGGAAAGGAGGAGCACAGTATCAAAATTATTATAATCTGGAAAAATTTCGATTGCAGAATCATTTTAATACACATTTATGTATTATTTATGTGGAGATTAGTAAAACTTTATAGAAAAATGTTAATTTATTAATGACTTTTGTTAACTATTTATGTAAATTTAAAATTAAGCTCTATAAGTTGCATTAATTGTTCATTTTTTAAATGCTTAAGTTTCCTACTTAGTTTTTCAGAAAAAAAATATTAGTTCATTAAAAAATATGAAATATATAAGTAAAAGAATGCCTCTTTCCTTTTTGCTCTCTCAAATCATTAAGCGAACATGCATTTACATAGTTAGCCCCGGACATAAAAGCCTGAAAACGCATGTATGAGATGTTACCGTCATTCGATGATTTATTGATTTATAGGTGCTTTATTTTTTACCACGATATTTTAGACGACGATGTTTTTAAACTGCGAAGTTTTTTAACTGTTTTATTATCGACGACGATATTTTAGAACTGCGATGTTTTCTCTTTGCTTTCTTTCCTCAACGATGTTTTACCTCAACGTTTTCGCCTCGCGTTGTTTTCTCCTCGACGTTTAAGTCCGCGATGTTTTTGGCGGACAGTCATTTAAATACATCCAAGATTCATATAACATTTTTCTATTTCGTCCGGATAAATATTTCTCATAAGGAATTCGGTAGAGCATTCTGAGTTCTGCAATATGTCGTGGAGAAAAACGATGGACATTGTAATTTTTTCGCTTTTTTAAAGATTCAAATCAGCATTAATCACTTTGTTTACAGCTGACAGTGATCATTTGAATGATTTTGCAACTCTCTTTTAACTTGGCGCATTTTTTTAACATTAAATATTTTACCTTTGCAACATTCCGCTTTTTTCTTGCAACATTGGAAAATTTCGTTTTTTTCCCCTTTGATATGTATTTGGAATCAATTTTCCATTTGAAGGCAAATTTTGACGTTTTTTCTCGCTTTCTTGTTGACAATATTACCTATCGTAGCTTTAGATACAGAAACACCACGGCTCTCATAGCGTTTTTTAATATTTGGATACGAATAATTTTCTTCGGAGACAGCACAAACATAACATTCCATCCATTATTTCTTTAAAAGCGCCATTTTTCATGAAATGAAAACTGTCAAGTGGCGGTTGGTAATTTGTACTTTCAAAAATATATTTGTAATTAAAACGAAAATTTTTTTCGAGAACAGCAAAATCATCTAAAAAATGTGTTAACAGCCTTTGTATTCTCTTATGTAGATGATTTTAAATGTAAAAAATTTTGAGCCTTCAGAAATCTCGAGAAATTCGTTGCAGATGACAGATGTCAGACATTCAGGAAACATTAATTTTTTAAAAAATTTATTTCTTAGTTCTTGCGAAAAAACGTTTCCATTTTTACATAACAGATTTTTCTATTACTTTTCGATTTAGCCTTAAGCAATTAGATGTAGTTATATGTTATGAAGTGTTCTAGAATTAATAAAGTACTGTGTACAAATGGTAATACCGTTACTTCATTTGTACCGAAACAAAGATCATTAACACTTAATTTAACAAATATAATATCATTAATTAAAATTTTATTATAAATTTGGAAATTACTGGATGAATTAAAAATTTGTATTCAATTCTTGCTAAAAACATTATTAGCTAAAAAAAATTGAAGCTTTTATCCCTGTAAAAATATTTCTTCGACAGTCTTAGAGTGCAAATTCATTTGGATTAAAATTTTAGAAATATCATTGCAGAAAAAGTTTGAAATAAATTACCTGTTTTTGCCCCATGTAAATAAAATATTAATATACTTTACTGTTTTGTTTTATGAAATCAACACCTGTCATGAAGTGAGACGGTAATTTAACTTATTTTTCTCCCAAGTTATTTCGGCACGGAATGCGTGCTCCTGACTTCTTATATCCATCGGATCCGAATCCAGAAGCTATGTGGAAAGAAGGACTTGGTCGACTTACTCAGGTAAATTATTGTAATTTTTAAGCAGATGAAAACGGAATATGAAAGGAAAGAAGCCATTGCGAGATTAATCATAAAAGCGGACATCACAATCAAGTGAGTTGACACTTCCAATTAAAACAATGATATAGCATGTCCGTCTTTCCGAGGGATGGCTGAAGCGTTCTTGAAAGAGAGTCACTTTATGTGATCGCTGACAATATGTGAGAAAGCAGTGTGGGAGTTCCTGTCACACTACAGGCTTAGAGTCCAGCCAGGCTTGCTAGCAAGTACCAGTGATGGGTGTTGGGGCACAAGCCATTCCACCATGATTTATGATTTGTTTCAGAGAATATAGTTCCAGACAGGTGAGGGTGGGAAAGGAGGAAATTAAGAGACCACATCCCTCCTTTGCTAGATTAAAACCCTGGCTACAAAAGTGTGATATTTCTAAACCGTTACGGTATCATCATCAACCTCAACAGATAACTGCAGTTTCCTTCCTTCCTTAAAAACGAGCGCCGAATGTCTATTTGAACGGTCTTAGAGATATTATGGCAGAGAAAATATTATTACAATGCACATGCACGGTGGAAAAGAGCACTTTATTCAAAATGCCAATGCTACTAATGCAATGTGGGGAAATTTTGATGGTTATATTGATATATTTGATAGATTATTTGACTGATATATGATTGAGGAAAGTTTTTCTTACTAAAGTAAATGCTTTCTAGTTTATTGTTTTTGATGTGCTTATACAGTGGATGTGCTTATACAGTGGTTCGAGATACAAGTTTAATTTGTTCTATCATTGACCTCGTAGAGCGAATTTCAAAAGAAATTAAACAAATAAAAAAGAAACAGTTTTTCACAGACGATTCAGCGCCGCTTATCTAATGCGCATGCGCTACTCGTAACCATTCTCATATGTCCGAGTCAGACTGGCGACAATATTTTCTGCTAATACGAAATATTTATGTCCTCGAATTTCGTTAAAGATATATTTCTCATTCAATTAATTCAGTTCTCACTTCGCGGCAAAATCAAAATACATAAAATCTCAAAATATCTTCTTAAATTTGAAAGCTATAAAAAACGTAAACCACTAAATATAGTTTTACAATTAAAATTCTCATTTCTACGCAAAAATAAGCAATTCGGCCAGCAGGCAAGAAGGTAGACATTTCGGTGCACAAAACTAAAAGTTTCCGTTTGATCTCACTTGGCAAGACACTGAAGGCGTACAAAATGACTTAATTTGTTGTGGACGTTATGCTCAGTCAATATATGGGACAACTTAATAACTTAAATGATAATTTCAGAATAGGTTAAGCATGATTTATTTCGCAATAATAAAAGAAGACATTATCTTTGTTGTTGAGAAGCTCAGTTTCTCTAGATTGGCAACAAATCCACTATTCTGCTAAATTTCAAATGTAAACAAATATGGGTGCTATGATAAAAAAATGAGGCTTAGCCACAATTAAACAACTTTTAAATTGTTGATAATTCTACAATTATTACATGCAGATTAACTAAAGGCATAAAAACTTTAACAGGAAGATAAGAACAACATAATTCAACAATTTTTTAATGCAAAAAATGCACAATTTTCCGAACCTGAGTAAAAAAAAACTGAGCTCATGCAGTCACACACATATATATATGCGTATGTATGTAATGATATTTTTAAATCAATGGATTAAATTAAATTCTAATAATATTGCTTAATAATGTGTCGGCGATTCTGTACCTAAATTGCATCCCTGTTCCTAAATTTTGGCGAAATCCTTTCTTTATTATAAATTATACTAACTTGTTGGCGCCCGCCAAATTGCCAAACTCATAAATCTGTCATATTACATAAAGTCCTTAAGAACACTCCTGATGAGGAGATAGCGTCGCCTCGTGAAATCTCATTCCTGTTGCCCCGGCTGCATAACACAAATAATGTATGAGAAAATACATTTCATATATATATATATATATATATAAAATATATATTTATATAATTTTGGTGGAATCGATTGCAACCAAAAACGGAGGTGCACATCAATATGTTATAGCAGTCCTACACACAAAATTTGAGCTTTCTGAGGCTATACGTTTTTGAGTTATGCGAGATATATACATACATATTCACGAAAAAAATCTCTGAAGGAAGTAAAAATCTGATGAGGAGACTACATTAGTTTTACAGCTTGAAACCATTCTAGAAACGTATTTTTACATCTATCGATTTTCTGCTTTATCTCCGCTTTCTTACGACATTTGCAATTTTATTACTTCTTGATAAATTATAATTCCTTGCTTAATTACACATTTCTGTTTGGAAAATTTCCAGATCAAACGTAGTTTTCTTCTGGCTGCAGTTACGAGAAATATTAAAAATCTTTTAATTTTTTTTCTTTCAGCCTTACGTCTTTTCGCTTGGCATCTTCGACATGTTAAAATTGCTTCTTCCAATCATATACTCAAGTTTCAAAACTTGCATTTTTAGCCAGGAGAAAGCATTTTTAGCCATTATTCTGCTTAGTCTATTTCGAAATTTAAGATTTTAAACATGAATAATGATTTAATTGTTTTTTCTTTAGCCTACAAACATCGCTTCCTCTCTGTGATATCATCCCTTCTTCATCCACCGCCTCATAGAGAAATAACTCCACCTTCTTGTATTTTTAGACATTTATTTTACAAACACAAACTAATACTAAACTACACTACTAATAACTGAAAATATATAAAGTAATAAAAATGAATTTCGGTTTCATTAATGGCTCCCACGAGCCTTCCGTACGACCTCTTTGTCGGTCTCCCTCTTGGAAACTAAACCTTTGGCGCCTCTCCAGACTGAGAGTTAGCGCCCTCTATACATCTTGTTGGTTGGCGTCACCCATACATCACACCCCCCACCCAAGATTGAAATAGGGTGAAAGCCTATTGAAATATGACAAATTATGGTGACGTCAAACAAAAGAGTTACTTACCTACTAAAGTCTACAAATCAATCGATACTGAAGTTGAAAGATATATAACACAATACTTATACAGGTTAGTTCTACATCTACTGCAAGACTTCTTCTAAAACTGTAATATATAAATGATTAAAAATTAGTATTCAAACAATTCTAATGCAATAGAATACTTAAAGCGTCTATGATATACTTAAAAGTCTCTAGGACAGTAGCTGTAAAAGAAACACACACATAAAAAAATAATAATATTAAGAGTTCATAAATGTCTATGAAAAGTTCTTTCTTTCACACAAGTCACTCAATAGTCTCTAGTCTGGACAACGCATTAGCATTGCTTAACTTAACACCTGGGCAATGTGAAATTGTAGTATCATACTTTTGTAATTCTAAAGCCCATCTCTGTAACTTAGAAGATTGTGGTGCGTTCTTTGTGATGAAAGTTAACGGATTGTGATCAGTTATCAGTTCCACAGGTGATCCAAAAATCCAAGTTTCAAACTTTTTCAAGCTCCAAATAACAGCATAAGCTTCCCTCTCGATAGTTGGCCATGCTTGTTGTGTTTTGGTAAGTTTCTGGCTGGCGTAACTAATCGGGTACAACTTTCCGTTTTTCCTTTGAGATAAGCAGGCTCCAACATCTGTTGAAGATGCACCACATTGAATTATAAAAGGTAACCCTGGAACAGGGGTATAAAGACTAGGTGCTTCCATTAGGCATTTCTTTAATTTAATGAATGCTTCGTCGTGTTTTTCTGTCCAGTACAGCTCTTCAGGACTTCTTCTTTTGGTGAGCTCGGTTAATGGATAAGCTGTTTCGGCATAATGTGGAATGTAGTCTCTGTAATAATTACATAGGCCTAGAATGCTTTTCAATTGTTTTTTTGTTTGAGGTCTAGCTAATTTCTGGATAGCCTCCACTTTCTCTGGATCTGTACGATGACTGCCGGAACCGATGATATGTCCTAGATACTTAATATGAGTTTTAGCGAAGGAACATTTCTTGAGATTTACGGAAAACTGTAGTTCTAACAGTTTTGAAAAAATGGTGTCAAGATGTACTAAATGTTCATTCCAATTATTTGAATAAACAGCTATGTCATCGACGTAGGCTCGAGCAAAATCTTTGTATTTAGCAAGGGCCTGATTCATGACTCTCTGAAATGTTGCAGCGGCGTTGCGTAGCCCGAAAGGCATGACTTTAAATTGATACTGAGCTCGATGTGTCTTGAAACATGCTAATTCTTGACTCTCTCTTTCTAATGGTATGGCCCAATAGCCTTTGAGTAAATCAATGCTGGATATCACTTTGGCTTTTCCAATGTAGAATAAGAGCTCTTTAGGATTTTCCATAGGGAAGTCATCTGGTTTCGTTACTGCATTAAGGGATCTAAAATCAACGCAAAGGCGAATATTACCGTCTTTCTTCATAACGCATACAATAGGGTACGAAATTTCAGCGTTGGTTTCTTCAATCAATCCCATTGATAACATTTCTTCGATTTGTTTATCTACTTGAGGCTTCAATGCTTCTGGAATTCGATAAACATATGGCTTCTTCCTTTCATTGTCACTTAATCTTATTTGATGTTCTCCTACTTTGGCAATTTGTACCTTATTTATAAATAAGTTTTCATATTTTCTTAACAAGTTTATCATTTCATTCCTTTTATCATCATCTAAATGGCTTAAGTTAAATTTACTTCGCTAAGATGAAAATGATCGGACTTGTCACTCACACTGGGTGTGGGATGGACTTCTCCTAGTTCTTCTTCGTTCTCAAATATTACACCTACTGCCTGTACTTTTGGATTAAATTTTCGAATTTTATTTACATGTACTCTTCTTATTGTACCATCTGTCAGTTCTGACTCTGTAAGAATCTGGATTACAACGAGATACTATTTCTGCAGGTCCTATCCATCTGGCATATAATTTATTACTGGAATCTGGAATCAGCAGGTACACTTGATCTCCAGGGTTGAATTCTTTATATATAGCCCTTCGATTAGCATATCTTGCATATGCACCTTGTTTCAATTCTGCAGTTAT